TGGTAAACAAAGAGGTCAAAACTAACAAATATTAATTAGTTACTTTTGTCGAATTTTCGGAAATAATTTTACTGCATAGTAGAGCAAAAGTAAGGAAGCTGAAGTTAGATATCAAAGTATAATTGCAGTGGTGCGACGTTAAAAAATGCGCTAGATAGCTAACTTATCACGTTTTTATGAGGTACAAGCAATAGCTTGTCTACAGCCTTAGATTCCAATCAATGGATACACGATTACAAAAGTTAATAGTCATTTATTTAAATTTATTTGTAGTTAAGCTTTATTTGTGTCTGTTAAGCAATTGCACGAAAGTAGGTAAAATAATCGATTAAGGCTGTAAAAAGGGTTTGCAAGCGATTAACGAGTGATCAACGAGCGTAAATTTTTTTTCTTACAGTACTAACAGTAATTGCATAAAATTTGAACTGCGACCTCGGATGAAAATACTTAATTAAAGAGAAAACTCGTGTTTTGTGGCATACTTTACGTAGAAATTAGCTTTAGAATCAATTTGTTTGAGAAAATATCGAAACTATCTGTTATTATTCACCAGACTTTTTTCTTTTTAGTAGCAGTAGAGCTCCTTACTACTGCCACCTTATATATTACTGCCGCCAAGGAGTAATGTTAGCATTAGTGTTCCGGTTTTGAGGGGTAAGGGTGCTGGTGAAATTACAAGCACATGAGACTTGTCAATTTATGTCTCAGGGTGATGGGCGCAGTGGTAGTAGTGGTAGGTAGCAGATCTTTACGATTTAAAGAGCTGAGTGGCACTGCAACTGTTATGCACAGGCTGTAGCTTACCATCAGGCGCTTGACTTGTCCGTCCCGTCACTTGATATTATAACTTTAACCGCCTATAAAAAAAACGCTATTTTTCTTAGAAGCTTTGACTTTGAAAGTAGCATCGTTGGTCAGAAGACTTCGAGGGAGGACCACCCTGCCTGTACTGAGGCATCTCGTACGGATAATAATTCCGCACGAGATGCCTCGTAAGTACATAACATTTTAGATTTTAAACAATATGGTACATTCCTACTAACAGTAGCTTATAAGTATTTTTTCGTCTGTTTTACTAACACCAGTGGATCCTGTAATCTGAAAATAAATATTTTTAATTTGAATTTGTAACGTATCAAATATGGATTTAGTATAAGAAATACTAAGTAAGCGTTTTGGTTGTTACTGTAAGCTTATATTGTTTTATAAATAAATACAAAAAAATAAACAAATAAGCCTTCAAATGCAATAAAAACTGCATATAATAAAAATGAAATATATACAGGTAGAGATACACAAACAAAGGCTATAAAGTTATAGCTCCCTCTTTTTGCGTCAGCGGTTTAAAAGAATTCCCATCGCGAACATAGTCACGATCGTAGCAAGTAGCTGAAGTTCTATCTTGTAAATCGTAAGCGCAAATAGAATTTAAATTGATTCCCAATGATGCCTTATAAAACACGTTCTTAAACTAAAAACAGCATTGATTGAATAGAATCTTGGAGTGTATGTGGTTTAGTTATCGGCTCACGTAGTGTATATGATAACCTCATTAAATTGAGATCTATCACGGACGCCCGGAGATGGGTTCACATGCGTGAACGACGGATGTTTAAACGATGTTCGATTTTAACGTTCCCTTGAGATCTTGAGATGCATGAGAGACTATTTAGAAAATCATGTAACACTCCATTAACCGCATTTTAAATTTTAATGTAGTGTTGTAATAATAAAAAACGTTTCATTACAGATGTTTAGCCATACGTTCCTGCAAAAATTCTGCAATGAAATATTCATTGCACATAGAATTACAATAACAATTATATAGTAATGAAGTAATGTATTGGGTTGACCCAGAAGTCCGTGCTAGTTTTGCCCTATAAATAAGCCTTTTTGTCTTATAACAATTTATTCCAGAAAATTTACAGATAGGTGTGCAACCAAAAAATCACTCCATTTAAATAAATACACTATACAATGCTTACTACAGTATACTATGTAAGAGGCCCAATTTGACAGCTAAGGAAGACCTTAGTACCTAAGTTTAGTACCTTAGTACGTAACTCTGAATGTAATTAACGAAACAGTAAACAAACAATTATTAACTTATTGAGTTTTAAAAAATACATTAATTTTAGTGAAGCATTATATAATATGATGATGATAGAAGATATTCCAAAAATAAAATCCGTTTTGAGTTAGTCCGAGACGTCTTACAAACAGTTACGTCCTCAACCTATTTTTTCTCAAATAATAGTGTTGTAACCAATTAATCGCCGAATTTCACCGTGTCAATTCAATTTCATTTAAAAAAATAATGACTTTTTGATTTTGATTTTAAAAAAGAGTTGACATTGGTAATATGATTGAAAAATTAGATAATTATACTTAGGGTCGTATTCTAGAACTCTACTCAATTTTCAAGTCAGGATTTGAGTATGGTTTAAAGCACTCGAAATCATACTCAAGTCCCTGCCATTAGGGTCGTATTTCTAGTGCTTGACCGACCCTGGGAGTCGTATTCCAGGACTCTACTCAATACTCAAGTCAGGACTTGAGTATTGCAGTGAGCACTGAAAATCATACTCAAGTCCTTGTCATTAGGGTCGTATTTCCAGTGCTTGAAATAATACGCAAGTCTGCTCAAATCCTGACTTGAGTATTGAGTATCATTTAAAATACTTAAACTTTACATTATTTACTTTATATTCAACATTATATTGCTTAAATAAATATAAATTCGTCTAACTGAAAACCAATAACTAGAAAAATAACATAAATGATCACAGAATTTCGAATTGATTTCTCGTGAGAGTCATTGAAAATGTTTAGTTCACATCCCTATTTACGTGGCACTGACAAGTGTCAAGGGTGCCTCTTATTTTATGACGACTTCGGTGGCCCAATGGTTTACAATATGGGCGCGGGTGAAGTAGAACCAATTTAGGAAATTAATTTTTCTACATTAGTTCGAATGTTATCCATATATTTTATCACCTTGGTAGAACTCATTTTCCACCTAAGGTTCGCTTAACACCTTTCAATAGTCTGGTATCAACTTTCATACGATTCATCCATCTTGTCTTTGGTTTTCCTTTGCCCTTAAAGCCATCCACGTTTATATTTAACTTCCGAGTAATATGACTCTCATTCCTTCACAACCCGCCGCTACCGCCGTTTCAGATAAAAGACGCCTGCTACTGGACGTACATATCCATAAGTGATAAAAAATTACTTCGCAACTTTTCCGTCACTGGCGCCATTACTACCACTTACATAATCATTTTAAGTGCCTTAATATCCGGGAAAAAATATTATAGATGGATCGCTTTGGAGCTTTTTTAGACGACTGACGAGTATATTCAGCCATTTGTTACTGGACAAATACTTAAGGCAGTAGTTACGAACTGACCACCGTCAATGAAATAAGTCGTCAATGCTTGCGCTGGTTCATAAGGTTCTTTTCCATCATCATAATGTACCTCTTATACGTCCCAATGCACTGCCATTCTTGTTCACACCGACAACAGACGAGGCGCGCTTGCAATTAAAATCTCGACTGAACACTATTGATCATGACTGCACGCATTAACTGCAGACGTGCAATCCATTTCCTGGCAGCCTTGGCAAGAGGTATTGCTACTAAACAGTCATAAATTTATGGATCCTCCACTTAATAGAGAGTATTATTAATAGAAATATTTAAGGCAAGTGGCGTTTCATAGCAAGAACATTTAACGAAAACGAAAACAGCGAGCAATTCGGCGAAGGAAATAAAGCAGGAAACGAGGTTTACGTGACCTTCCGGTCCGATATTGGTAAAGTCGCTGCCGTTTGGAGCGATCATTTATCTAATATACCATGTATTCATTACATCATTATATCGAAGGGAATTATTATAACCAGTCCCGGAATGTACGTTAATTTAATTTGGGATTTATGTGTTGAATGAGGGTAAGTAGTTAATATTATGTATATGTATATATATGTATATGTATATAGTTTGAACATCTTGTATTGATAGGAAATGAAACTATTTTTCCGGATTTAAATCGCGTATATTTGTTTTTTCAAACAAACCGACGTTTCGGGCCCTTTACAGGTCCCATGGTCACGGTTGACACAGTTCAGTCAACCATGGGACCAGTAAAGTAAAATTTAAATCCGGAAAAATAGTTTCATTTCATATGTGTAACAATCGCGAAAACCTAAGAACTTGATATCTTGTATTAACTTATCTACAGGCAATATACTATGTTGTATTGGAGAAAAGTATTTGAATTCGTTAAGTAGTGTACTTGTGACAAATACATCTATAATATCAAATCGTTCAGTATCACGAAAGATAAAAACAATGGAATTGACTTAAGCCTCGATTACTATGAGAACCGCTGTCGCCAAAAATCACTTTCATAATTTGATACACTATGAAATGTTGACAATTATTGGTCGTAGTTTCAAATTGAAAAAGAAATAACTAATTGTGGACTGTTAATATAATTTAAACTTTACCCTGTTAGGATATTGTTGAAAGTTCAATACCTATTATTGCAAGTTTCTACTTTCTATTGAAATTTCAATTAATATGATGCCATCTAGCAGTTAATGCGTGAACGAGGACGAACTCGAGATGTTTACTTATTTCTGTAAAAAAGAAACGACCATATTGCTGCGGTATAAGGTTTACTTAAGTTTTTTGTAACAAGAAAATGATAACGATAAACAGAAAATTGATTAAAATTCAATAAAATAAGACTTAATGATGATACTAAACATCGCCATAGATAATATTACAAGTGTGACTATCATTATATATTTTTGTATGAATTTCGCGGTTTTATGCCAGATAATTGAGACGACCATAACGTACAACCGAAAATGGCGGACTCGGCTTAAGTTTGCGTAACTCCGCGAACTGTTGGTACACGTGACACGCAAACCATGCACTTACTTCATTTTACTGTATTTATTGTTCTGTGTTTAGTATACTATTAACTTACCCGAGTATAACGAGTTCTCCATATTTGACGAGGGGTTTGGGTTTCTGCTCGGAGCCACTTTCTCCGGCTTCCTCGAGAATTGGTGAGTCCGCACTGTCCGCAGCACTATAACAATACAAATATGACTTTTAAAACTTAAGAAAAAAGATTGTTATTAGAATACATAATTGCATTGCCTTTAGTATAATAGAAATTACGTGTAGCAATATAGGTATATTAACAAAAAGTTGTTAGTTAACTACCCAATTTGTATGTACAATCTAAACACAAAAAAAAAAAAACTACCTAAACTAATTTATTTTGGTTTTGGTTAAATATATATTTTGTATAGTTGCGTATATATTTTTTTCATTTAACAATGAAGTTGAGTGCTTCTTGTGTACTTCTTGAGCTTGTTTTTGTTCCTAACACCTTCAATATCGCCCCTTAATGTGCGTACACAATATTTAACATTCCTAAAGTACCGATGTACGGACAACAGCACATCAGACTACACATTTTTGTTCGAAAATCGCCTCCAGTGCAACGGAACAAGACATGTCAAGATACACATCTTGATATGCTGTTGTACATAATTTTCAAAAATCAATACACCAAATTCATGTAGAAAGAAAATTAAAGTAAATTTGTACACAACTGCTCTAGTTTAGACATCAAACTATAAAAAATGTATATAAAGACCCTTCAAGCCTGCTTTACAGCTATAAAACGATGAACTTTGCAGTTTTATATAACACCGCTGAACCTAAGCCAGACGAAATGAAAAGGCAATAAATTCCCCACCGAGTGACTCGCTCATTAATTACGTTCCAAGGGCCGTGGACTTCAAATCTGTTATTATGTAAAATGCTCTCTTAAGTTATGGAGATAAAATTCTTTCGCGAACTTCGTAGATTATTTATTATACCTACGTTGCTCTTTATAATTTTCTCCGCATAATTTTGACAAAATTGTATTCCTAACTGGCTAACACGACAGAGCGCGACTTGCGCGAGAACGACAAAGATTAACTGCCTCCGTGGCCGAACGGTTACCATGCCGTACTGCCACGCAGAGGTCCCAGGTTCGATTCCCGGGCCGGGCGAAATATTTGTATGACCTACATTTATTTCTCTCGTGAGTTTGGGTGTAATTTGTGGTTGTCTATGTGTGTGTCCATGGCACCCGCGACACAGTGTTTCCCTAGTGCGGGGCTATGTTGAGTGTGTGCGTTATTATTATTATTATTATTATTATTATAAAGCGCAACATACTGCTATACTTGCATAGTAGCAGAAGTTTTTAATAGCAGTAGAGCTCCTTGTGAAAGAGTTCATCCAGGGTAGTACTGCCACCTTACCTATTTCTGCCGTTAAGCGTTAATGTCAGCATTATGTTCCGGTTTTGAAGCGTAAGAGTGCTGGTGAAATTACAGGCACATATGACTTGTCGAGTTATGTCTCGGGGTGACGGGCGCAGTGGTTGTGCCCCTCAGATCTTTGCAATTTAAAGCTCTGAGTGGCACTGTAACTGTTATGGACAGGCGTGTACTTACCATCAGGCGCACGACTTGTTCGTCGCGTCACTGTTATAAAAAAAATAGAGATTGCGCGCTTTATGTCGCTCTCGCGCAAATTGCGCTCTGTCTTGCTAGCCCTACTGATTTGTATCGGGAGTTTTTAAATTTTATTAAAGTGTCATTCTTTCTCTTTTTTATTCATCTCTCTTATTTTATGTGCTTAAAATTATTTGCATACAACATTTGAGATAGGATACAATGCAACCGGTGCAGCTTATAAAAACTACGCGTTAAAAGCGTAATTAGTACCAACAGATGAAGAGAGACGGAGGCTAAGGCAGCATGCTACAATACCTAGGACATGGTATTGTATCAAAAGTGTCCATACTGTACACGTGATTAATATCGGATAAAACGTATGTAGTTACGTAATCTAAAAATATCAAAACACCTACATAATAATCAACGCTTTTTATTAACCCCTTCATGGACAGTACTGAAATAATACCGCACACCAAAAGTCACTACTTTTCTTTATGTCGTAGTGACCATATTGATTCAACATAATTATTACGCTTAATCACTGACGGTTGATCCCGTCACTTTCATAGCAGCACTGTAAACTGTTCTTGCAAATGTTTCTTGTGCATAAGTAAGTACGGCTATGATAGTAGTACAGTAATTTTATTTAAATTATTTCAGTAAAAAAAGTCTAATTATTAAATTAAAATAGCGTACACCGTAAAATAGTGTAAGCAGTTTGGAAAGTAGTAAGAGAGGTGATTTTGTTTAGCAATAGTACACTGTATGTGTCGTTTAGTTATTCATCAAATTGATATGAAAATTAAGTAATTTATTTCACCTAGATGGCAGAAAATATCTACCTAACTAACGTAATTTTAAGTGTGAAAATACGTTTCATTATTATTTGTTATAGAATAGGGTTTCTGCAGTACACATTGTTGGTCTATTAAATTACTAAAAAAGTATGCATTTAGAGAAAAAAAAAATTGAGGGATTTTTTACTGTCAGAGAGTTCCAGCGCGAAAACAAATTACATAACCACAAGAGGCAGTCGCTGGCGACGCACTGACATGTACTGTCTTACAATGGTCTTATATCACCATATACAAACACGTCGGTATTTACCGTCCTGTCTTGGTATGCACATACTAAATATATGTGTGTAACGTCCACAAATGTATTTCAAATAAATCATTCAATTTTGTCAGTACATTGTTGATACTTTTCTATGGAGAAGCAGTAGGCGGCAACTTCAAAGAAAGCACTTGGAATACGCACGGTAAAGCCCGTAGTAGTTTTTACAAGATCCATATATCGAAACGGGTTAGCCCGTACTGTCCACATTCGAATTTTTCATTTTACGGTAAACGCCGTGACTGTCCATGAAAGGGTTAAATTACTTGTTTCTATTACAATTTCTAATATAATGTTGCGCAAATTGCGCTAGCATGACATGAGATATGTCTCTCAATTGTCATTTATTATTGAGCAATAAATTACTACACTTTTCACTTTCATTAAGAAGGTATATTCAAAAAGATACGATCCTTCTCAGAAAGTACTACCTACTACCAGACTGGTGGCGAATAAAATGTACCTAGTTAAAAACGTCGATATCGAAAAGAAAATATTCGATACCGAAAAGTATCGATACTTTTTTCCGTGACCTACTTATAAGTAAGTAAGTTTGTAAACTCTAGTCATTAGAAATTCTTTTCAAAATTCCTCCCGCAGTTCATCAACGACTTCCGTAAAATCCTTTCTCAAGCCCTCCAAACCTTTATGATACGAGAGAACTGGTCCAACACTGTGGGTCAAGATTAGTGACTCAAATTATGAGCGTGCTAGAACCGGTTGCGGCCAATGCACTATACTATCCAGTTTCTTGCGACCTCTGACTTCTACGCGTTTTCAATTTATACTATACATTATCTTGTAGAATATGGGAGAGATGGGTCAAAGGTGAATTGGTTAAATAGCGGCTTACGCAAGCGTCGTAAACTAAGTAATATATTTAGTTATTAAAGCATAAAATGCACTTGTTTCTTTGTCGCAGACGGAGTCGTATCGTAATACTGTCCTTTATAGTGCATCGTTTATTGACTCCATTTTACTATCTTGTTTGTAGACTGTAAATATACTTATTAATGTTGAATTCATAGTGTTATCTTTACGTCGCCGGTGTTTTGTAGACAGGGTGAAAGCACTATTTCGAAATTTTTTTCAAGGGACAATATTTTAGTTTTTCTAGAGTGTTTAAAAATATTTACGTTCTGTAAAATATGTCTAAATGGTAGTAAATAGCTTCATTGAGCATTTATGCGCGATTTGTATACAGTACCGCACAAAGCTATAGCTCGGGGGGTTGCTTATTTCGTTACACGTCTATAATGTAAGAGAATGTGTTGTATGTAACACTTTCATCAAAAAATAAATGAATTTGATGTTAACTTTCTTGTAAACAAATCCCATTAATTTACGTCTTGGTTACGTTTGCACTGTGGGCACTGGATAAGGAAGTCCCATTTTCGATTCCCGGTATATCCAATTTGGGAGATGAACTTTTATAAGTTCTAGTTTTGAACTTTTTTTTTATGGTACTGCGCCTGGTGGTAAGCGACATGCCAGTCCATAGCAGTTGCAGTGCCACTCAGAACCTTAAATCGCAAAGATCTGATGGGCACTGCCACTGCGCCAGCCACCCTGAAATATTGAAAAGTCCCATGTGCCTGCAATTTCACTAGCACCCTTACCCTTCAAAACCGAACCGCAATAATGCACACATTATTGCTAGGCGGCAGAAATAGGTAAGGTGGCAGTACTTCCCTGGACGAAATCTTTCACAGGGAGCTCTATTACCACGAAAATACTGCACAGTGCCTTAGAATAAATTCCGTTGCACTGGTATTCATAGTACAGGGAATTAACCAGTTTCAGATCAGGGAATTGGTGTGGTTGTCTGGTACATTATTTTCATTATTATTTACGATGATTACAATGATGAATACAATGAATTAAAGAAAATGTGGACAATTATTTTGGTATTAAAGGTATTTTGAAGACCACTAAGCTCCTCGATAAGTTTAATTGAAAAAAGTACATTAGGGGTGGTATTAATAACAGCTATCTGGTAACAGTTTTCCATTAATAAAACACATGTAAGTATCTAATATGTTAAGTGCTATTGATTCCAGATAAGATACCATACAATCTATTGTATTACATCTACCTGTGCAGAAATAGTATGGACATTCTTATAGGAGTGAAATTAATTTCACTTCAAATTCAACAGCACAATGGGCTTTAGACTGTCTAATTCTAAGTGACAGAGCTGAATCTTTTTCTTAAAGGGAGACGTGTTCACACTGGCGTTCAACACTAGGTACCATGTCGAAGGTTAACAGGCAATATCTCGTATGCCACATTGATTGAACTTCACAATAAACGATAAAATAATGTTAATTTTTTTTAAGTCTAATTTTAACTTTTGGTAAAAACTTAGTCTTATTTTATTAACAATTTACATTATTTCAACATCTTAAACTAATTAACATTTGATTTAGTTTTAATAAAAATGTGGTTT